TTCTAGATCAGGCGATCGAAAATGACATGAAATGTAAAACCAACTGTATGCCAGTTATGGTATATGGCGTGACCCTATCATAAAGATCACAACTTTAGCCTCATTTATCCCGTATTCGACTCGGTAATTAGGTACCTACTTAGCATGATTTTCTTTCGATCAGCGACGAAATAGTATAATGTCGTATCAAATTCTACATATTTTATAAACGCGTTTTGTGTGGCTGTATGTATGTTTGGTACTCATTCCCGTCAAAACGGCTGAAGGGATCGGAATAAACTTTAGAATAGATGTAGTTTAGGATCTGGAGTAACAAAGGCCTTTCATCCCACGAGGACACGGGCACAACCCAGTGGTTGTGCCCGTGTCCTCGTGGGATGAAAGGCCTTTTGCCAGTGCAAAAGCTAGTACATTATAATTCGTACCAGCTATTTCCCGGTGTTCAAATTAGCCGTCTAACCACAAAATCACTTCATAGCGACGTGATATACAGACAAACATTTTCACATTTATAATATTAGGTTTATCCTTGATAAGTTTGTCTAAACTGCTAACACGAACGCGAGACATGTAACATTAAGAAAACAAATTAAAACGTGTTTGTATGTATAAACTTTGTGATACTTTTCAAGGGAATTGTGGGATAAAGGAGTTTACGTTTGAACAGTTTAGATTTATGTGTGAGATGAGAGTAGATAAGTAATTATGATTTTGTAGAGGTATATTATTATTATTTGTACGTGTCGGAGAGCCATGCTTCGGCACGAATGGGCCGGCTCGACCGGAGTGATACCACGGCCGAGCAGAACACCGACGTGAAACAATGAAACAACGCTTGAGTTGTGTTTGAGCGTGTGTGAGCGTGGTTACCGGAAGCCCAACCTCTTAACCTTTCCAATCCGTGAATCCCAACAATCCTCAACACCATAAAAAAATTCATAAATAAATTACTAAGATGTTTGACAGTAGGTTTTGTATGAAGGACTTAACACAATGTAATATCTTCGTCTCTCCAGTCACCTATCTGAAGTCATTTAGAACTAGAACCCGCTCCGAATTGTCAAAATCGGTTCAGCCAATCGCGAGGTAATCGTGGACAAACACATACATACAGGTAAGACTAGGAACCTTCAGCTTCTTTTTGAAGTCTGAAAAACTCCGTGGTATTACAAAACATTAAAGAGAAACTGAAAAAAGAACAATTAGATGATCCGTCTGCTCGTTTGCCTCCTATTCCATAAAAATATTATTATATAAAACTAAAATTCTTTGCTCAGTACTTGTATTTACAAACTCAAATTTTTTGAGGCATTATAAACCTTCTGAAAAATATATTCAGATAATCCGTAAGAGCCTATCTAGTTAATTATCCTGTGTCTTCATGAACGTTAATTAACGTAGCCTGAATATTCCTGAAACGTGACGTCACAGCTACTGTATCGTGACGTGACAAATACAGCCTCCTTTGTCTTAGCATCATTTGTTTCAGCCAATTCAGGATTTACGTGGGTACCGTCGTTTCGAGTATTGATGATGTTTCAGGAATTAGAATAGGTTGTTATTACTGAAAATTTAATTTGAAGTGCAACCATAATTTGGTACTTTTGAAACGACAACAAATATGAAATAAATAATAGTCTGTCAGTCTGTCCGTCAGTGAAGCTAGGCGCTCGTTCCAAAATGTCAATTCGAGTGGAGAAGATCGAGCAAGAAACTCCATTCGTTACTCTTTTAAATAAATTGCAAGTGCAATTTTTAGGTGGCTGTATTTTTTTTTTTGTTTTATGTAATATACCTACCTAAAATGGCAAACAATATTATGTTATGTCTCGTTAACTGATTTCTTGCTCTTGCAAAATGCCATTGATGTTTTGTCGTAAATATCAGTAAGTTGTAACACTAAATCTGTAATTGTATGGTAAAAGTCTAATGAAAATAATTCCTACAAATGAAACTCGAAGTCTACAGGGATCCTAATTGTGCCTAATGTAATCCAATCTGCTAAACAAACGCGTTGTCTATCGGCGTCCTTTAGGGAAAGCTCATTAATGTTCGAAGATAGAACCTTAAGGCTTAGATACGGCTTAAATACAAAATAGCTGATTTAGTCATTAGTCCAATGCTATAATCAATATTAAAATACATACACACATACATACTTATCTTCACGCTTGTCTTTTATTGTGGTAAGCAGAGACAATAGAACGCCAAAAACAGGATCTTGACATACATCTTTTGTTTCATCGCTGTTAATAAATTTCAAATAGTCATGAATGTGACTTCTTAGTAGTCTTGAGTTCGATTCCCGGTTTGGGTAACAAAGCTTTACAGGAACTTTTTGGTTTCTTTTTCTCCGAACTATATAATGTTATTATTGCGATGTAGTGTAAAATTCACTATCTTAATCGGGTAATATTATACTTATAAAACTACATCTCTGCTTACTCCTTCAGAAGTTACAATAATAAGAGTCATAATTAAATTAATATTCACAAGAACACCCTTCGAACAAACACTAGAATATCCTAAGGACATAAAATCAAGACCCAAATCACACATTAAGCTAATCAACACACTTAATACCTCACCCAAATAAGCCGATACACGACAAATCTACAATCTTAGTCCCTATCAGCATTTCAATTCATAGTATAATTTCAGAACTAGTTAATACTACAAAGTAATCTATGAAGCTATCATATATTCCTTTGCCGTTCTCAGAGAAACGTAGGGTGCTTACATAAGGAATCAAGATGCCGATTCGAAGCGGCCTGTACGATACGGTCGGTATGATATTGCCGATAGATAGGCTACGGCCGGTAATGGTTGATGCAGGGTTTCAATTTTGTTTGCTATCCTGTTATGGTAGATACTTATCACTTATAAGAAGTCTTTATAAATAGTTAGAAGTTAAAAATATCTGACTATGGGTCTAAAATAAATTTTGGAAATTGCAAAAGTCTAACTTAAAGAGCACTGATACCCGGTCTCTATCTGTAATTCGGGTCTAACACACCCATGGAAAGAATGGTGGTGGTAAAATTGTATTTTACGCCGCCCACCATTAGTTACTATATATCTTAATGATTCGATATTATTTCTTCTATAAATAAACGTTTGGTCGTTTTTATATGCAAGTCGTAATCTGGTACCAAACGGCACCGGCGTTCCTATACCGGCAACTTGTTTCTTTATGTAAGGACCCTAACTTAAGCCTTCATTTATATTGTTTTACAAGAGATAGTGAACATTGTTTGAGAAAGTAATTGTGGATTCTTCTACTATTTGTTTTGTTTTCGTAATGTAATCAGATAATGGATGGAGTCTTTGATACTTATGTGATATTGAAAATTGATAGTCATTTGTTTATCATTGTCCTTCAAAGTTTACTGAAGGGTTAGGCAGAGTATTATAATACATACAGTATGCTAATAAATCAACAAACGAAGAACCTATAAAACTGAATAAAATTCAAATTTCGGATTAAACTTATAGTTACGCAAAATGCCAAAATGCTATGTTTTATATCGTTCGACAGTTTGAGGCTAACTTACATTTTCTTTTACCTGTTATAATAGCTAGGTACGTCAATGTAGTGTAGGGCGCCCTCCAGCTAGCTGATGTGACGATTTCCGATGTAAGGCTGCTACTTAGTGATTGGATAAAGAGAGCTGAAGATCGAGCTGTTTTACTTGCTTGCTATAGGCGAGAACTAAGTCCAGCAGATGAGAATAGACTCATGAATGCGCAAATACCCTACTTTATTACCTTGATACAAATCATCTCTGGTATTGTGGGTGTCCACGGTCAGTTTGTCTGCGCCGTACCATAAAAATCACTTATGAGACTTCCTAATTTCCCAAATACCCACCATCTTGATTCCCTTCACCACAAAAATAAAACACCATCAAAGAGATACGACACCATCAATAAAACTCGTATTGAATTCAAGTAATCTGAACATTCGTGACCGGATTAATATCCTAGCTACCTTTAAATCCAATAACAAACTGGAATTGAATCAGTTTCAATTGAATTCTATGTAAACATTTGTCAGGCTTCTATACGTACATACACACAGACCTGATTGTATTGATCAACAGTCGAAAAGAATCCGCTGATGGACTTAGGGCTGGCTGCTTGGACTTGCATCGTTCGATTCTGGCTTTACTCGGCATAGATTATACGTATGTATATCTTATATGTATGTAGAATTAGCTTCATACAGTTGATAGAAGGAGGAAGGCGTTGCCATGACAACGAAACGAATGGGGTGGAGTATTCAATTTATATTGCGTCTGTGGTAAAAGGTTGTGTTTACATATTTGTTTTGAAAAGTTTTTGATGAAACTTGGTTTAAAAAAACTTTGTTCACTTCGTTTTCGTAACGAAAATCTCCAAAAATGTATTCATACAAAAGTAATCTCTAAATGTCGGACGTAAAGTCTATAATCGAGTTAGTGGAAAGCGGTCACCGGTGGCCGCTTGGGGATTGATCAGTTTAAATAAATTTACGAGGAATTCTTTGATTAAAACTCGTATAAGACTTCTGCCTTAAGATAAGTTGATAGAAAATATTGATGTGTAAGGAATAAGGTCATCGAACATACTTTTTCTAATTCAGATTTCTAAGTCTGAATCTGTATATCTTATTTCTTATGCTCCACATCTCCCAAGTGCTTGTAAAACCTGGATATTACGGGAAAAAACCTTTAAAGAAGGACATGGACACCTTGATTCAGCAATGGATATTCGACTAATGATGGTGAATCTAAAGCGTACTCAATGCTCACAGCATTAATTAAATACGTGAAAAGATTAATGACTGTTGATGAAGCGAAAGAAGTATTTAAGAATCGTAGCACTTGGCGTTCCATAGACCATGGGGAAGACAGCTATGGAGGTTATGTATGTATGTATATATAAATAAATAAAGACAAGTATCCTAATAAATCTTTAATTAATTGGTAAGTGTGATACACACGGCTATACCAACTGAAGCCACACAAATTAGGATTGTTTAGGCTTAAAAGTTTCCGCAGTAGCAGTTGTGTTATGTACAGCTGGTTAGTTATTCGATCGTTTGTTAACAACGTTATTTACTACGGGATTAGTAAAGTTACCATCATGTTGCGTTACTTCCTTATTTTGATATAAATTCTGAACTAAATATTCAATTTAATGTTCAACAGTTTTAATATTTTAGAGGGAAACTGTGATTGGTTCATCAAAGTTATGATAGTGTAATTTTAATTTTGGAATGAAATAGTTAAAGTGTATTAAAATGTAAAATTCGATTAAATATAAAAATAGTTTATTATTTATCAGTAACGCCTGTCAATATTGTGTGATTAAATTTGCACAACAGATATTGGTTGCTAGCATATTTATTTCAGGCGTTTATTTTTTAGTAATACATTCATTTAACATTCATTCTAAAAGGTAATATTAATAACTACACCTCAATTCCTAAACTAATTATATCACAACAAAACAGCAGAAAACTAATTAAATCTAAATAATTTGTTACAATTTAAAACATACATTATTTATATGTCGACAAGATTTAAATAGAGAGCAAGCTGCTTCATTAACAAGATCAGAGACTTGGTATCACAATGTTTTTGTCTTCATCTCTGTAATTTTACTCTGTCCGTTGATTTCCTTTACATTTTCAATTCCATTCGATGTTTTCTTTCTGTAAAGGTAAGAAACAGTTTGTTTAAAGTTGAAATAAAATCATTGTATTGTATTGTATTGTGTGTATTTGCTCGCCTTTCGATATTTTATTGTATTATGTATTGATGCTGTTCTTGTTTTTATTTTTGCTTCAATGCACTTTTGCTGGGAAGTTAAACTATATTGTGCGTTTCAATAATATTTCAACTATCACATTCGTTAAGTGTGCCTAGTAAGCAAGGGGTCCCGGTCCTGGGTGCCACTCCTGGGTCGGAAAGTACATTTGTGGAATAGGAGGCAAACGAGCAGACAGATCAACTGATATTGTATGATTATAGCAATAGGCTCTGCCCCTATTACCTACGTGGGCCTCAAAAATTACCAACAAAAACTGGATATTATATTGTTTTATATACATCTAAGGAATGAGCTTCCTTAGAGACTGGGACAGACTGACATTTTTAACTTGTTTTTGTTTAACGTTCAAAAGAGACTGCCTTGTTGGCCGAGTGGTCGCAAATGCGATTGCCGGACAAGAGGTCTCGGGTTCGATTCCCGGGTCGGGCAAAGTACTACTGGGTTTTTAAAAATCTCAGTAGTAGCACGGAGTCTGGAAATGTGCCCGGTATATGGCAATAGGCTCACCCTCTATTACATGGGACTCATAACATAAATAGTGAAAAGTGGGTGTTACATTGTACAGTGGCATTAAGTGCCGTAATGTGCACCTCTGCCTACTCCTTCGGGGATAAAAGGCGTGATGTTATGTTATGTTCAAAAGTGCCTTCCTGGTCTAACAGAAATAAATGCTTTTGACTTCGACAAGAACGTAGACATACTTCTAAAACCTCTTTATAACAAGTTGGAAATTCAACACATCACAGTTTTATTTTATTTACACACAAACATTACTTTACCGTTTTAAGGATACAATAAACAATCGATACATAACAAACAACACAATTAGATGAGATCACTGATAAGTACATCATTATATATCATTAATAGTATTACATATAGACTATATATTATGATACTCACGTAGGGATTAGAACGAGATTAGCCAAGTTGCTTAAAGGAGACTCGACAAACAGCCAGAGCAGTACAGCGAGTGCTGCCGATACTACGAGTACTCCTATTCCGATTAGTATCTGAAAATCAATTAGGAAGTTTGTAATACTAGTAATATGATGTTCTGTGGTGTAGGTAGGTAAGGTTTAGATTGATTTGTACTATAGATAATATCTTGATGCATAATATCTTACCTAATATTATATGTAAATGTAAAAGTTTATGATTATGGGTATCGGGTTAGTTTCCCGGGTCGGGAAAAGTGTTACTTTGTTTTTTTTTTTAATCTCAGTAGTAGCTCGGAGTCTAGAAATGTGCCCGGTATATGGCAAAAGGCACACCTGTTACATGGGACTCATAACATAAATAGTGAAAAGTGGGTGTTACATTGTATAGTGGCGTGAAGTGCCGTAATGTGCACCTCTGTCTACCCCTTCGGGGATAAAAACGCGTGATGTTATGTATGTATGTACTCCTTCACGTCAAAACGGCTGAAGGGATCGGCATGAAATTTGGAACAGCGGTAGATTATGTGCTGGATTAACACATAGTTTACTTTTTATCGTACGGGAAGTCGGGAACACGGTGCAAGCCGCTGGCAGAAACTAGTTAATATATACGTACCAAGTTAAACATGTCATAATGCATGGGATTTCGTTGTGAGTACAGGAACCTTTCAAGGATTAGTGAATGGGTTATATAGACCCCGTATGCTAGACGACTGAAGATTGTGAAGCCGGGCCAAGACATGAACTTGCGAAGGATTTCTGAAATGAAAAATAAATAAATAAAATATTACTGATTTAATTAAAATAGTGGTTCCATGATTGAGTGCCTAAATTTTGAGTTCTAAAACTAGATAGATTTCTGTTCCTTTCCGAATGTTATTGAGTTATTCTGTGAAATAGTGAGAAACAGTGCTGATATTGAAAATAATATTTTTTTTGTGGGTTAAGTCGATAAACGAGCAGATGGATCACCTGATGGTAAGCAATCGGCGTCGCCCACGGACACTTGGAACACCAGAGCCGTTACAAGTGCGGTACCGGCCAATAGAAGCTAAGCAGATTGTGTGAAACCGTGCGGAAGTAGCTAGTGTTATGTATTTTCGATGTACAACCCAAAAACATACTATGAGCAACTACTACGAATTTTATCCAGAACATTGCTGTGGAATTTTCATTTATTACGGCGCAGTGTAGCCTAGAAATACTACTCTCAATTTCCAATCAAATGTTACAATACTATGTTCGATTGTTCGCAATAACTGATCATATTGCTTCTCTATAATTTGTTCAAATTTATTGTACCTACGTGTAGGTATTTGGGCTGAATTTTGATATGGTTTTTTTATTTACTAGCTTTTACTAAAAATTGTGTATAAAACACCAAATGTTATTATTAATATTGTCAATATTGTCCTACTAACAATTCAATTAACATTTTTAAAAAACAAATTTCCAAAAATGCGATGACATTACAAGTTGACAACGTAACTCTACCCAAGAACAAATAAAATATAGGACTTGGAACAGCAAAAAATGCTAAAGTACATTGCTAAAAGGTACCTAAGTAATATTTTGTAGAGAATATTTCAACAGAACAAGACAGAGTGGAATTTGATGAAACTGTTACGGACGTATCTTGGAACAGAAATGAAAATATAATACCGGTATTTTGACGGAGGAAAACTAAGGGTCCTCCCGGGAAATTAGAAAAAAAAGGGAACCATGTTGAACATGCCCCAAGCATCAGAACACGGGTACATTTAGTTGAAAGGGATTAAAAGGAAGGTTATCCACTCATTTCCTGGTTTCTATTTTCATATTTCAATGCGTATAAAGATTTGTATCATTTTTATTATCTTACTAATATCATGAATGCGAAAGTTTGTGTGTATGTGTGTGTGTTTGTTTGTTTGTTACTCAACCACGTCAGAGCGACTGAAGAGATCGGGATATCAAATGTGGAATAGCGGTAGATTATGGCCTAGAATAAGGAATAGGCTACTTTTTATTGCACGGACGAAGCTTTTAACAGAGGCTAGTTTTTTTATACTAGGTACATTTATTTATCTTGCTTACGCTAATGGTATTACAGTAAAAGATTTAAAAGAAACATATTTCTGTACTGCGCTTACATTAATTTTTGTGTTCGTTCTTTCAGTATGACTTTCAAAGATTTATTTTTGTTGTCGTTTGTATTTTGCGCGGTAAATAATTTTACAGTACTGTATTGTATTGTTCGATACCATTTTCTCAGAGAGATTAAGTTGGAAGGTAATATATTTCACCTACAATTTGTTTAATATTTTCATTGTTAATGGCTCTCACGTTTCAGCATTTAAATCAACTGTATCGATTTTAACATGTAGTTTAAATTGAATCGAGGACTACGTAACTTATTATGAATATTCCGGCATAATATTTATTTGAGAGCTTATTTCTGCTACTCATGTCTACTTATTGTTGTTTTTCATGCGAATTTTACTTTACAAGAGCACATAAAATACTCGATAATTTGTACAAAAGATTTATATAATTTAATGTTTATGTTAAGAGATTTTCGGAACAATATTGAATCTTATTTCAATTTTAATTATCTCGTTTGTTGAGTGGTACAGCCAGTGTTACTATCGAGTAAGGGGTTTCAGACTTTGATAGCCAGACAAAATATTATTGGCTAACTTTCGGTTTTCCTTAAAACGAGTCACCTTTTATATGTCAGCATTTATCTAGAGATGACTTATATCTATAAGTAACACAATAATCTTTCATAGTTTTATCTGTAGAGTGGTTCGTTCGCCATTACTTTAACCACTTTTGCTTTAGTTTTGACATCTTGTATTCCTAAAATCTGTCTTCCAATAATAGTACATTTGATTGATTTAATTTGCTCCAGTATTCAGAAGCTATTGTAGACGGATATTGTAATTATTCAAGTAAAATCGATTGTTTACTTTGTAACTATTAACGTTTCAGCATAACTTGCCAACTCTATTATTAGAACTAATATAGAAATAGTTATTGAATGATATTTGTTACACTAATATAACGTAACTACGTCAACTTAGAATTTAGCTGATCATTTAGCTCGCGTAAGATTGTGTACGTTTTTCCGAATTAGCAAAGGCGTTTGATAGAGTAAACCAGTGATTTATCTATATACAAATAAATAAAATTGTACTTACGGACGTCCCCGTACTCAGTAATTCCGATACAAACACATGTTGCCAAAGCCCATAAGTTTCTGTTGAGTGCCGCATAGATTGCCGAGCTCCAAGCGTTGTATTCCCCAAGGCACCATGCCGGGGCCGACGATAGTACTTTCAGACCCAACATAAAAGCTGCCGCGAGACCTAAGTACGAACATTCCTGGAAAAAAGATAGAAACTTAGATATATTGCCTTAAGATTGCTAGTTACCACTTGTATAAAAAGATATTAAATAAAGTTATAAGTACTCTTAACTTTTTATTTTATTTTTAGTGGCATTCTTCTAGCGAGACAGTAATATTAAATAATATATTGTCATACGCGCTACGGCATCGATAATTCCTAACTCTTGTTGCGTGACATTGAAAACCTTTCTGCCAGACCTGGGTACATACAACCCGTTTCATAAATACATCACTTGTCATATCCATTAATATAGTTCTGTACTCACCTTGGAAATAACTCCTCTATACTTAGTAGGCCTATACACAGTGATGATGTACCCCATAGCCATGCCAAGGAAATAGGACCCAGCTCTATGGTGGCTCTTCATATACGTATCAGTATACACGACATTGTCCCTCACATGGATGACTTTCCTAAAAAAATGATTGAAATGAGTTTTCAAAGAAAATAATTTTACTTCTATACACGCTTGTCTTAGTTTATAGTTTCGGTCGCAAGAAATTCAATTCCCAATCGCAAAGTTTTATTGGCTTTCTGTCATAGCTAAATTCGTTCTAAACGATTGTAGACTTGAACCTGGTTGGAAGTATGGAAAAATATGACAAAAAATGTCTTCAAAACTTTACCATCCTCCGTTCCCATATAAACCATGTAAAATTTTGTTATATACACGAAGGTCAACATCAAAGAATGTTCAGCGATGGAAAATATACTGTAAGTAATAAAAAGCTTTAAAATATTCACCACATCGTATGCAGTAAAATAAAGAAAGCAAATTGATCCCGTTCATAAGAGGAGTTACATTTTATTACATTGAAAATCTGAATAAACGAACACGAACCGATACCATTGTGAAGAAATAAACAATTTTTTCGGAGATCGTAAAATAAATTCACGAATTTCCCAGAAGCAGACAATCTGATTGTATGTAGTACGTATATTGAAAAAATATTTCGATTCATACCCTACTCTAATATGATTTGAGATTCTATTAAAGCTGAAATTTAATGGAACATCAATCCATGTAATTCGATTTTTAAGCCAATGTTTGTATCATGGCGGAATACCCATACATTTAATTGAAGCCTTGCTTCTATTGAAATTGTTAATTCTGTTGTGCTTAATAGCTAATTAACATGAAGCTACTGTGAGTTTCATGTTTCAAAGAATCATTATACCTCTTTCATTGAAAGGTTTAAAATATGAGAATACATGAGCTTTCGGGAGATAATAATACAAAATAACATATATTTAATAACTGCGTGGATTAGAACTACATTAGACAGATGAAAAAAGGTAAAAATTACACAAAAAAGTTACTTACTCGACATCATACAACAGTATGCCAGGCAATCTTTTGGTATAAGTGGTGATACCAGTAATCACCATGGAGTAAATAACAGCAATGATGGTGGTGATCTTGCCAATTTGTCTGTTCCATTGCCAGAGGCAAAAAAGGGCAGTGCCCATCACTGCCAAGTGATAATCTGCTGGTATGTACCAGGATACTTGTTGGCACTGAAATCATATTGGTAAAAGGATAATATCTAGTAGTAAATTTAATCAATAAGTCATAATTATTACGTCATAGTTACAAGATCATTAAATATGCAGCATTCAAAAGAGTCAATAAATGTTTCTAGCTTCTCACCAAAACAGTCTCACAACGTAATTAGTAATGATCCTTATGTAAATATTAGGAAGACTTAAAATAATAAAATGTAATTTTGTATGTATTTAAACTTACAATATTATCACTATCCACGTAGTTACCAAGCATCAAAAGTCCAACGAGCCAGGACTTTTCACATACTTTCTGCTCTCTACCAATAATTCTCTTCCATAGTGGTCCATCACCAGTATACTCTGATACCGCCAGAGTATAGAATATTAGAACTGAGAAGGATCCTATTAATCTAGCAAAGAGAAATGTTAAAATTAGTCTGTGATCAGAAATAGCAATACTAGATGTAGGAAAAAAATAATTCCTAAAAGACACTGCACCTAATATATCGTTGGACTAGAGTGATGACAGGATTCCGTTTCTTCTCCATAAGACCTTTCATAAGAAGAAATCCAGATATGACGAAGAAATTCTCCACAGATGGTAGATCTAAATGCTGAATGGTGTTCCCGAAAATATTGTCTTTCACACTTATTAACTGGAATAAAAGAAAAAAGTAACACTGTAAGAAAAGTTTTAATTTTTAATAGGTCAACGAGAAGACCAGATTATATAAAAAATAAAAATATATGAGCTTACGTTGAATTAAACAGAAATGTGTTCATATGTAGAAGGATTACTCTAGGAACCAATTTGGGTCCCAAAAATAATATAGGCGAACTAAGAACCTCCTTTTCATTATCTACGAATCGATTTAAAAAACCATGAGTTACCAGACACAGCTATATTACTAAAGACAGACAAAAATCAACTTACATCATCATAATCATGTCCATTGCTAATAGAGCCAGCGACAATAAACACGAAGACGTGGATACAAGTTGTGAGCGACAACACTAAGGCTTTTGTAAAACTGAGGACAGGGATCTCATCATCAGTGATCTTGACAAATGATGACCAGTTTCTTCTGAGACTGAAGGAGTAAGCTATTCTTCTTACTGGAACATAATGTTTTAGGATATCATGCCCTTAATCACTGAATGATTACAAACGTCGAGTACAATAGCAGATTTATCATTGGTCAAATTAGATTTTGTTATTACATTTCGAGTGTTATGTTGTGATGAATTCAGGTCTATTTGTTAGTGATTAGATTTGTGACCTAAATTGAAAGGATTATTAGATAATCTAGATTTAAGCTGCCATCACATTTGTTACAGTTTTTTACCGATTGATAATATTACTACGATTGTTCTAATATTTAAACTATTGGCTTTTTGTGAGTCGACTGCACGGTTGACGCGGTGGCTGGGCAATTGGCTGCGGCGCAACGTGTAGCGGGTTTGATTTCAGCACGGAGCAAGTCTTTCTGTGATCCACAAATAGTTGTTCCGTGTCTAGGTGTCATTGTGTATGTGAACTTGTATGTTTGTAAACGCACCCACGACGCAGGAGAAACTCCTAGGGCAATGATTTATTTAAAAAAGTGTTTTAGGCACGTTGTGGATTTAAGTCAAATTATTATTCACGTGTTAAACATTGCTTAACCTGCGTCGAACTAGTTTAAATCTACCTTCATTATTATATTGAAAAATAAGGAAATCAATGAATCATCAATATTCATACGGCGTGGTGTACGTAAAGTAATTATTTGTACAATAATCACACAGGCACACGACAAATATAGTTGTGGGCATAATTTATATGAAATGGTGGAACTCACGTGTGGAATCTGTGTTATTGTACTCGAGGTACAGTGATGATGCAATCGTGGTGATAATTAGGCTGGTGATTGTGAATCTGGAAAAAATAATAATAATCATAAGTAATTATGATATCGACGTGGTTCTTATAGCTATCAGGAATGCGAACGATATATTTGTTGGTAAGAATAAGTAATTAGTTGAGAGACTTCAAGTAATGACAATTCTTATTAAAGTGATGGTACAATAAAAGTAATGAGTAACTTACTTGGTGTCGTGGTGGCCCGGGTTCGAAGCCTATCAATGATCAGTACCAGTGTGATTTTTCTAAGTTATATGTACTTTCTAAAATTATTGAGACACCACTGACAAACGGTGAAGAAAACCATCGTTGGGAAACCTGGGCTTATAATTTCTAATTATAAGTTAGAAATCGCCAACGTGCATTGAGCAAGTGTGGTGATTAATGCTCAAATCTCCGTGTGAGAAGAGGCTTTACTCAGCAGCATTTATGGGCTGTTGATGATGATGATTATGATGAACTTGCTTGTTTATTTGTTGTAGTATTAGTGATATAATTGTTCAGTTGACTTAAAATCTTCTATAATAGATTTAAATATAAAAAAATATAGTTAATAAGCATTAAAATAACTTACATAAATATATAAAACCTTAAGCTATACACTAGCTTTTCTCCAGCCTTATCACAATAATCCACTGAGATCTGAGGATCCAAGGAAGTGATGGGGTTCACCAGGTATATGACTTTGAGGATCTTGGAGACAGACTGATGGTTACACACTGCTGGTAGGCAGACTCCCCAGGATATTGTGTCGGCTTTCCTGCCTACTTGAGATTTGACCTGGAAGAAAACATTATAAATAATGAAAGATTACAAGTAATTGAATAAATTGTTATGTCTAATATTTCATGGTTCCAAAGTTGTAAAAGACGTTGCCGTAAATAAAATATATAATTCATACTATCATCAATTTATATATCTAATAGTAATATTATGTTTAAAACTTTTCATAATAAAGGCCCTAATAAAAGTGATAAATTATTAGATGCGGCCATTTTCAAAGTTGTTTATGTACTAGTTAGAAACTTCTATTCTAGGAACTACGTTAAGGTCACTTACACTCAAAAACTCTTCAGTTCTATCGTGCTCATTAGCACTTCCATATTTCTGATCTTCTTTATCAGTTAACTTGACGTCAGTGAGACAGTATTGTGTCTCAATTTTAGGGTCACCAAAATTAGAAGGAGCTTTTAAACATTGGTCGTAGTTGCCTAAACTATATCTGGAACCGTAGAAAGTACCCGCTGGGTGGTGCATGGAATTCCATACTGAAAAATTAAAATTGAACCAATGACCGTAAGAAAAAGATTTAATTGAGAATTCTCTGTCGTTGAAAACAGTTTAAAAAGGACTACATTGATAAAGTTGATGAGCGATAGATCAAGTAATTGTAAGTCTATCAAACTCTATCTCTGGTTCGATATTTGGATTAGCCAAATCATTAACGGCATTTACAATTTCATCATTGCCAAAAGCTATAACGCTATTTTTTCTTCTGTTGCTTCTGTTGTAATTATAGAAAACGTACTAATGAATATTTGAACTTGTCGGTCCATCCTGTTTGTATAAAAAAGTAGCATTAACTCTACTTACTCCAAACAGCCCAAACAGTATAATTCTTTACTCCATTTAGAACTCGTAGCGTTTGGTCTAGACAAGGCTTCTCTTGTTCAGACCAGTCTAAATGTTCCAGTCCATTTATAACTAAATCTATTTCTGTTTTTAGTTTATTACTAGTATATTCTGCCCTTGCAAAACCTGAAAAAGTATTTTTGATTATTTAAGTAGGTATTTCTATTTCAGTGTTAGAATAAGAAAGTATTTCATTAAACAATGTTAAATAAATTAAATAATATAAAACAAACTCCACGAACAAAAATTTTGTAACACAAGTTTTTTTGCTTAATAACTAAAAACTAGTTTTATTTTTGTAAATCAAATAACAAAAATTGTAAACCTGATGAACTCATTTGTCAACGTAATCGAAATTTCTTCTAAGAAATTTTATATTTATAGAACATAATTTCTTAATATAAAGTAACACATAACACAAATTGTATATCTTATTAAAAACATAGACACTAGGATTTTTTTACTGTACAAATGGAATCTAACAACTCATTCAATGACAATAATCAACTGAAACATTGTGGCAGCGCTAAAATTATTTAACAGTGAATAACCGAACTCGACAACAGATATATTGAAGTCAAAGTCAAAAACATTTATTTCAATTAGACCAGTAAGGCTTAAGGCACTTTTGAACGTCAACAAAAAAATTAAAAGTGAAGCTGTTTGCTCATTCCAAGGTGTAGATTCCTATGGAGAAGAACGAGCAAGAAACTCCAGAAGGCAAAACACGTCATTATCATTTCCGAGTACAAACTCTTCAATTCATAAGTACCCATTATAAGTACATACTTGTACATGTAGGTATCCTTATACCTATATATAAGTGTGTATTTATACATGTAGATATATGGAAAACCCAAATGACTAGAATAATTACTTAACCACAGATTTGCTTCAATGGTATAAATAATATAAGATATAATTGTAATTTATAATGTGCTCCATTATATTTACGTTAGTATGATCTAAGTTTCTATAGAAAATTGCTAGAAAATCTTCTTAGTACACGTGCTAGGACTAATCATTTTTATTAATTCTCCCATTACCGTAGGATTTAGGATTTCTGTCATAAGAACCTTCTCCTGACAATAACAAACACAAAAAAAAGAATCAGCCAAATCAAGTCTAGCCGTTCTCAAGTTATGGCGTGACAACGGGAAATGGGTTTCATTTCTAAATATATAGATTACAAACCATTTATAAGTATGTTGATGTACGGAATACAAATCAGGACGTAATGTTCCATATTAATATTTTTACCAAAACTAACAACGATTTTTTTTTGGCAACTATTTCATTCGTTATTCTAAAACCTCATTTTGATATAGGAAAAGTAAACTGCTCATTTGGCTATCATTTTTCAAATAATTCAAAATAATGCATTAAAGACTTCAATTGTATAAAAACAACAACTAACTAGTATTGTCGTTTGTAATCACACAAAAAATTGCACACTCTAATTAAAACTAAAAAAAAAAAACAAATAAAAATAATACAAAAAAAATATACTTACAAATGAAACCAATGACCACTATAAACCATGGCACTAGGTACACCTTCATTTTGTCACTAAAACTACTAAATATAAATTTAATGTTAACCTACTAACTGTGTGAACTAACTCGCTTTTAAATTGGAACTGAAATATTTATTAGTTCATCTATGACTTATAAGCCGACTGGTCAATTCAATGGGTTAACTGTTAAACATTATTATCTAAAAACATTGAAAACATCATACTGTATATTAATTTCTCAAATTATTTGATGGATAAGTGCAATTAATATGTATGGCTGTGTTATAACAATGTTAATTATAAGTCTTTTATATTAAATGACTACATTATCGCATTAGGTTTAACCTGTTAGGATGTGTTGATTTAAATAAATAATAAAGATAAATATTTTTAAATAAACAAAAAACAATTTTATTATTCATGGCCAGTATTAAGTTATTGCAACATTTTTATATGAATGTATTATTATATGAATTACTATTATATCAGTTTAGTTTTATGTGAATAATGGAACGTTTGCTACTGCAAGGGTCAAGAGCTTATACAAATAAATTTAAAATGCATAATATTTCTCTTTTAAGGAGGGGCCAGGGTTTATATTGACCGGATTTATCATCTTTTTGACGTCAGGAACAAAATTTGCTAGAGTTTCCATAGATACTTGGACTCGCTAGGCAGTTTAAAGGCACGAGATCTTTCTGAACGCTCGCCTTAAGGTTCAAGGTCCTTGCAATCGGTTAACAAATTGACGATTCTGTTGTTTTATATGAATTTTTGTTTTAAATGAAGAATGCTTTTGCCTCTTTTTGGTAGGCTTTTTAGGGACTATTTAATAATAGTACGATGACGCTACATGGCCTGGCCTGTAGAATGCTTGACTGGAATTATATATTCCTGTGAATTGGAACTCTTCAAAGTAACTTTTTTTTCTGCATTCATGTTATAAGTCACATATAATAGAGGATAAATCCTATTTCCAAATACAACACGATTATAAACACAACTAAGATTGTTTTTGAAGCCTAATTCATTTACGACCTTGAATAAATCCTCCTTGTTAGCTTGGGCTCTAGTCATTGCAGCTACGTAATAATTATGTAATAAAAATATGAAAATAAACATAATAAATAAACAAATAAATGTATGTTTTTATAATAACTACCGTGAGACATACTAAATTAACTAAAATCGCGGGTTATTCACGTGAGTAACCCGCGATTTTAGTTAAAATAAAAATATATATAAAAACGTGGGTCGCTTTTTATATTTGATGGGCGTACGTTTGCCTATACACTAAAATATATCTCCTTAATAGTGATTAATAGTGATTAAGGAGATATATTTTAGTGTATATGACAAATATAAAAATAATCTGTTTGAACAAATATTTGAACGTAATGCAGACGACGTTATGCAAATAATCTTACATTATGTATGTACACGGTAAACAAATATCCGCTTTGTACGTTTACTGTTATATGTAGTTGATTTTTGAATGACTAAAATATTGTAAAATTTTTTTGTATGAAATTATTTTATCTTAAATATAGATTGGTTTGTAGGAAACTTGTCTAAAAGGTGCTGTTACACAAGCTTATTTCAAGCACGAAAGCATGCTTCAATTGGGTAGTTTCCAGGGCAAGAAAATTAAAAATATAATTAGTCCGTCAGTTAGATAATGAAAAAATATTAGATACGTATACGTATTTTCTCGTATAAAGTTACAATACTTAAATAAAATGGAGTTAAGTTTAGGAGTGGGAGGTCGTTACGTCACAATGTGCTACATTTTGTCACACAATATTTCAAATCAATATATAGTCGAAAGCATTTAAATTTTGTGAGAAAATAAAAGATGTAATGTTTTAAAATAATCTACCAGACGGACATTAAAATAAAATTTAGGAAACTAGCCTATTGAGCACTTGTCACTTAGTAGCATTTGTGTCGGCTTGCTCACAATTAGCGTGCTCATTTCAGGTATGTGGCGAATCAATAGACGTTCGATGTTTGTACATTTTTGAGCATGCTCAACAGAATGTTTTTTTAGTACACTACTTTTGAGCATGCCCAACAAAAATATCTTTACTTTCAACAATAAAGTAACTTAACTATGTCTTCATTGACTGACGATCGACTTGGAATCGATTCCTATATTGGACAGTGTTATTTAGTACTAGCATGGAGTTTGAAATGGTATAATATGACAGAGGGCTATTTTTTTTTATAAAAACTTTGCCCCTCACTAAGATTTTCTCTCTGTATCGTGGGTGCGTTTACAAACATACAAGTTCACATACACATGACACCCAGGAACAACAATTTGTGGATCACACAAAGAGTTGCTCCGTACGGAAATCGATCCCGCTACACTTTGCTGTCGTATTACTACGTACTAGTGGACAGAAAAGTGGGTGTCACTGTGTCTATATAACCTTTATAGGTGTGACATTACATGCATTCGTTACACATTGTTAAATATTATATAATTGGTCTATGTTAGTTTTTAGATCATCAAATGACCTAATACATAATATGGTAATGAATATGACCTTTGTACGAGGTATGTAGTAATTGGCCACAAAGTTTGTCCAGCATGACCAATATTGGCCATATATTAAGACCACTTCCTCAATAGGTTGGTTGAGTGCAAATACTAAGTATTATGCTCGGCTGTATTACGGAGTTTGTCATTTCTTTATGCATGTAATTATATTATAACCTAAGCAGTGTTGATCAAGGAAAATTAAAGGTCATATTACTAAAGGTCTATAAATAACATAGAAAGTTGTTTAGTTTAGTTTTATTATTTTATTTTGTCTGATATTTTAGAATTTGCGTCACCATTCTCTTCGGTTCTTTGAATCGTAATGTCCTTCTTGGATCTGTAAATAGAATTGTAATTTTTAGTAGCTACATAGGTAGGTAGAAATTATAATCAATGATCTTGGTTCGATTCCTGGGTTACGTAGGTTTCACTTGTTTCGTTTTTTTTTCGATATTTCGATAAATTCTCCTCTTGATATTAAATTTTTAGATTGAAAGTTTATCGATGACATTTAAATAAAAAAGTGAAAAGTTAGTACTGCCGGGCTATTTCCTGGTTGGATATTAGTTTACTAACTATCTAACTAACGGAAATCGAACCTGTAACAGTCTCGCTCTTACATTTAACTAACTAGTCTTCAACGAGGAATAACATAAACGACGTGTATGACCTTGAATTTAAATATTTTCGGAATCGAACCCAACACACATCTTAGTTAACTATACAATCGATAGTTATTTAAGTTGTTCGGGCCATTGACAAGACGAGGGTCCTAATATCGGCGGCCGAACATTAGGCACGATGACCTCAAATTTAGGACCTCTCCTTATTATTAGGAAATTTTATTTTTATCCCAAACACGTCATTAGTCGAGGAGTTGGTTTATGTTTTAGGGAATTAGGGTTTAAATGGCGAGTATAATTGTAAGAAATATTATTTATTTGTCTCTTTATAATATAAATAAGAGTCCATTCCTAAGTACTGGGTTCGATTTTAAACTCAGAATTTTTATGACATAAATTGGAAAAAATAATACTATGTCAGACCCGGGATTTGAATAAACTTATATTAAATCAAATTGAGATATCAAAAAGGTTTCTAAGAATAACCTTTACAAATATAATAAACCAGAGAACCATGGCATGATAAGTTATTCAATATTCAACTTTTAATTTCAACCAGGAAGAGAGTTGATATTTGCTTGAACTCGGTACTAAGTAAATTTTACACCATAATAGAAGCCTTACCCAGAATTGGTAAACAGGTTGACTATGTTATTCAATGGAGCTTCCACGAATAGCCAGAGGAGGAGGGAAAACATCACCGACATCACCAGGATACCGAAACCATGGAGACCCTGGAAACAGAAGCATAATAACATGGTTTTTTAAACGTTGCCCCACTCTAGGATTTTCTCCTGTGTCGTGGGTGCGTTTACAAACATACAAGTTCACATACACACGACACCCAGGAGGCTTACTCTTGAATCCAATTCCGATCGGTCGACATTGGTATTGTGAAATTTCATACTCTTGATTTGCGACACTAGCGCCCATTGCTTCCGTATTGCGTGGATGTTTAATGGACTAAACGGTATTCAGTTTAGTTTTATATTCCGTACTGTTAATATTATTTTAATAGCTACGATAGGGGTTGTATAGTTTTGACATTGAATAATTATTGAGATTTTATTGGATTGAAATTGCATTGACATTGAGATTGGTTTCAAGAGTAAGCACCCAGACCCGGGACAACAATCTGTGGATCACACAAAGTGTTGCTCCATGCGGCCCATGCGCGAATCGACCTCGTGATACGTTGCGCGGCAGCCGGTTGTCCAGCCATCGCACCAACTTAGTACCATCATTATCATCAATTATTATCAGCTACAAGATGTCCACGGCTTACACAGGCCTATCCCAACTATTTCCAGACATTTAGAACCAACTGTACTAATTTTACTATCATAATTGCCCTGTAGATATTGCTGGACTATAAGCGCCCACAATGTTATAATCACCACCCTTAACAAACGGGTTGGGGATCGCGGTCGATCGCTTATCATAAAGCTGCTGTTCGATCTCTGTCGTACAATACCCATGGGAAGGGAAGCGGTAGTACTTTTCTGTCTCCGGTTCAGCTCAGGTCTTTTTCTAATGTAGTTCAATTGAGTAAGCCGTTATTTAAATAGTATAAATATACACTGATACCTCAGAGTATATCAAGTCAAACTGCTGGACATTTCTCCTGGAGTATAGATTCTGCTGTAGGATGATGGAGTGGGTCAGGTAGACTCCATATGCCAGTCGGCTGAGCACTGCAAAGCCATGCCAGTTCGCGATGCCACGTAGATGGGCTGAAATATTAATTAAAACGTTATTACTCCATGTCAGACTCCATGTTATTACTGTTTACTGATTTATAAGCTCAGTTCATTTGATAAAATATAAATTTGATTAATAACGTAACATAATATAGTTGTTGTAATTAATACGATCAATAAAATTGAAATATAAATAAATTGAAGACGAATTATCATTACCTACATTTAATTTTATTTG